TTATTATTATTATGTACGTCAGGTATTACCTGGTTTGTGAAACATTTTTGAGAACATAAAGCTAAACAAATCTTGTCAAAATCAATGCAACACAACCAGAAATCATAATTAAATATTATTCTGTTCCATCAGTTATGATTGGGTGATTATAACAAACAATACATTAATTATTGACCAATGATTATAACAAATAATACATTAATTATTGACCACTGATTATAACAAAAAATACATTAATTATTGACCACTGTGAATAACTGTTTAATCTCTGAAAATAACTAGGTAAATTATTGCTGCTAATGGTGGTTTTGTTTGCTTTCTGTTTGTAAACTGAAGCAGGTTAAATATATATTCTTTTTTTAAAGGGAACTAAGAACAATAACAAGTAAACACTGCTTTAACAGCATTTTCCTGTCATGCGGGACAGCCAGCAGAGGGCGCCAGGCTGTGTAAATTCCTACACTTTGGGTGGTACCTGAACGCAGCGTTAAGACGAAGTGAAACTGATCCAGGAGACCCCTCTTCCTCTGCACCCACAAGTTCCCAGAGCCAACCGGCATGTTCTGTTCATAAACTCCGCAAAGACACACGCGTCTCGGAACCTCCAGGTCCGGTGCTCAGAGTAATGTCTCAGTAGTCCCCGGCTTTGAAGGCGATAACAGCGGAAACAGACGCCGGTGGCCGCTTTCGATCAGGTTGTTTGTGAAGAAGAAGAGGCGGAATCCCCCGAACAGCCGGGTAAGACATGCTAATGCTAGCAGAGCTAGGCTAACTCGTAGTTAGCTTTAAGATTAAACCACACAGATTAGCACGTTGTCATCATCATGAAGGGCGTCGTTTTTATTTACAACCTCGATCATTTTATATAAAGTGATTATTTGGAGAAAAGCAGATTATTAAGAACACGGTAATTATTAGGCTAACGTTTTTGACACTTAAAAAAATGATGCGCCTTAAACAAAAAAACCACTAAACTGTCAATCAAGCAAGAAATTTCCCTAAACTATGTGATTTATTGTTTTTATATTTGTTCGAACTGAAGGTAATGGAGCTAGCATTCAATGCTAATCAAAATGAAACTATTTATACTCAGCAGACTACAGGTGGTGGGAGCGTTTATTACAAGTTTTACGGTAACTGACGAAAGTGAAAATTACCATTACACATTTATAATACTAGCCTTGTTAAAGTGTACACAGTGTTATGTGAAGTACACAACATTTGGTACAGTACCTTGTTAAGTGATTGCAGTTGTTGATGTAAAGAAAAACTAATGTTACCCAGAGTTGTAAAGTAACTAAGTACAAAAACATTGTTACTGTACTTAAGTAGAAATTTGGGTTATCTGTACTTTGAGTAATTATATTACTGTTACTCATTACATTTTTACACAATTATCTGTACTTTCTACTCTACATTTTTTAAAACGGTAAGAAGTAGAAAGTCGTTACTTCTGTTATATTCTGAGTTTTCATTACTTAAAAAATACTATCCTGATAAACAGTGTCTCCTGGATSGAGTGAATTTAATTGTGTTTGGATGAGAAGTATAAATATATACCATTCTGACACACTATTAGCTTGTACACAACCCATCATCAAAAATATTTTTTGGAGAAATCACCTCCCAATTCAAAAATACTTTATTGATCCCAGAGGGAAATTTGTTAAAATAAATGTCATTTTGGAAAATTTAACTGCTCACTTTTACTCAGTACTTTTACTTTTAATACTTAAGTAGATTTTGTGTCAGAAATTTACTTTTGATACTTAAGTGCAAAAAAAATCCTGATACTTTAAGACTTTTACTCAAGTAATATTTTTAGAGAAGACTTTAATTTTTACCAAAGTATTTTTATGATAAGATACTTGTACTGTTACTTAAGTATCACTTTGAGGTACATGTTACCCATTTTTCCTGTGGGTTCTAACCCATCAGGTACAATCAAGTGAAGCTGAAAAGGGTTAAAAAAGATAAATTTAGGATTCAATAAGTTTAGCTCAATTTAAAATCATAAATGTCAAAATAATCGTTTAGAGGAGAATTGTTTGTCTTTGCAGTCCAAACCAAAACAATGCCTCATAAACACAAGTCCAAGTCGTGGGCGGCGCTGAAACAAGCCGGGAACGAGTGCTTCAAGACGGGTCAGTACGGAGACGCCGCGGGTCTTTACAGCCAGGCCATCAAAGAGCTGGAGAGGTCCGGTGAGTCGTCGTCTAACTGTGAGCTGAAACTGAACCAGACCGTTGGTTTGGATTTTTACTTTCTTTTTCAGTCAAGGAATAAAACAAAACAAAAACCTACTTTTTGTTGATGCCACTGGTCTGGTTGATACTTTTCATACATTTTGATTTTATTTTATGTTTCAACATAAGAACTGCCCATAAGTTTTCACAAAGAACACAAATAAAACCAAACGCTGAGGAAAGTTTAAAACGTCTGTTTTCTGATGTAAAGATTAAATAATTCATAAGTCCTGTAAAAAACACTTTATTTTTTAATCTTAAGGTAAGAAGAACACGGAGGATTTGTCCATTTTGTACTCAAACCGTGCAGCCAGCTACCTGAAGGACGGCAACTGTGTGGAATGTGTGAAGGACTGCGATACGTGAGTCTTTATTTTATTCTAACCGTTAGACATTCAATTCATCAGCTATTTTTTTATCAGTTTTCTTTCAGTCCTGCCCAAATCACTACATATTCCTGTAACCTCATGTTGTCTGATCAAACACAAACGTTCTTATAAAGAAACATTTGAAACGTTCTGATCCGTTCAGCTCTCTGGACTTGTCCCCGTTCAACATGAAGTCTTTGCTCCGACGTGCGGCAGCGTACGAAGCCCTGGAGCGCTACCGCCACGCCTACATCGACTACAAGACGGTCCTGCAGATCGACTGCAACGTGGCGTCGGCTCACGACGGCACCAACAGGTCCGACAGTCGTGTTTCCCGGCTGCGCAGCTTCGAACTTTATTTTTTACTTTTTTATTAAATGTTTTTATTTTTTTCTTCTCTCAGGATGACGAAGGCGCTCACAGAGGCGGACGGTCCGTCGTGGAGAGAGAAACTCCCTCCCATCCCCACCGTCCCCCTCTCCGTGAGGGAAAAGTTCGCCCAAAAAGCTGCAGGCGACGCCACGCAGCCGAAAGCCACGCAGCCGAAAGCTACGCAGCCGAAAGCTATGCCGCAGCAGAACGGCATCAAGCAAACAGGCAAACCCGGTGAGTAGCTGCTTTCTTTTATTAATGAATAAAGCAGCTTTTAAGTTCAAGTTTATTTATATAGCTCCAAGTCACAACATACGTAGTCTCAGGACACTACAGAAAAAGAACAATGTAAAGAAGAAAGCAGCAGATTGTGTTGAATCACTTCATCACAGTCTCCCATCCTGAGCAAACGGTGGAGAGGAAAAAC